CAAAAAAAAAAGATTCACTTTTTTCCAAATTGGTATCTGATACACTACTTATTCACTCTTCTACATTCTGTAAATAGGTTTATTTAACATATACGAGTGATAAAATCAGTACCCCTTAACCTCAATCCACCCCACACCCAACATTTTGAGACCAAAAGAAAGGAAAAAGATTCAGTTTTTCCAAATTGGTATCTTATAAACTACTTATTCATTCTTCTACGTTCTGCAAAGAGGTTTATTAACACATACAAGTGATAAAATCAATACCCTTCAACCCCCATCCACCCCACACCCAACATTTCAAAACCAAAAGAAAGAAAAAAAAATACTCACTTTTTCCCAAATTGGTATCTGATAAACTACCTACTCATCTGCCTAATTCTACAAAAAGAAGAAAAAAACAAAGTTCACTTTTTCAATAAAAAAACAAGTGAAACAATCACACCCCAAACTCAATACCAGAATCAAGAATCAACATTATGAGGTTAAAATGAGGGGAAAAAGATAATTTTTTTCAAGTGGGTATTTGATAAACTACCTACTGTGTTGATTAACGGTCGCAATTTGATTGAAAGAAGACGAGAGAGGGACATTATTGCTCTCCCCTCTCTTACAGGGAGAGTAAAGCAACAGCAGAGGGTTTTGGCGAGGTTTTATGATACTCAGAACAATGTTTACACAAGTAAATGTAATGAACTACCTAAAATACCCTTCTTGCTTAATCCATCTCGATCATGAAAATGACATTTAAAATTATTCGAGTCGGAATTGATACGCCAATTAAATTTAGATTGAGCCGCTTATTTAGGAGTACACTTCAATAGGATTCTCTTTCAAGTTTGAATTTCAGATTTATGATTAAAGGTAAAGAAGTTGTACATCTCAAAATAATTCATGCAATTTTTTTAAAATATAATTTCTAAATATTTATAATTTTTTTTAAATATTAACACTTTAATAGACTAATTTTTTTTTTTGAAAAAAGTTATTTATTTAATACTATCACATTATTGAGACGAAAAAATAATAAAGATGAACATAGTTAAATTTTAAGTTTATCGATTATTTGTATTTAGACAATTAAACTATAATATGTTCTGATTGAGGACTTGCATTTATGATAATACAAAGTAAATATTTGTTTATTTTTTTTTATTCATTACCCCTAAAAGTTGAAAATTTTTTTTCTCATTGGAAGCCTAAACCAGGTTGTCTGTTTTTCCATGAATTTGACTAATGTTGGATTAGTCCTAAATTATAATTAAAGGTTGCTAATGCATACTTGATTATTATGATTCGCCATTTAATTCATTTTATAAATCCTTTTTTTTAGGGGTTAAATTGATTTCTTCTCTTATAAGTAAAATCGTCAACTTCTAATGTAAAGATGACATCGTTTTATGTCAATTTTCTTTACGTATAATTTATGTTTACTTTCTTTATATTTACATATAATAGATATTATATTACTAGTTTTGATATATATTTGATTTATGATGTTTACTCAAACTTTATTCTTTTTGTTACAATATTCATCTTTTGAAGCCAAGAGTATTCATGCCTCAAGGTGGTTGTTTTTCTTTCACATTATTTTTCTATGTTAGACTAATTGACAATTTTTTTAACGATATTTTAGACGGTCCTAAATTTTATTTTAGTTTTGCTTCTCTTTTCAAGGTGTTATTCACCTTGTAATAGAAAGCCTAGATTTTTAATTTCACCTTTTGTATATTTCTAGAAGTTATTCTTTTCGTTCTAATTTATTTTTCTTGCTTTTCTTTTAAAATGTAAGTTATTTTGTAACGGCATGGGTATATGTGAGTCGTTTGTATAGTGATAAGAGCATATATGAGCTACTTTCATAACGAAAGATATATCGGTTCCAAATGACAAAGTTAAGGGGTACATCAAACCCTTTTCCATATCGACTGATGCATCTGACAATAATTTCTTAGAAAAACTCTCAAATTTGGTTTGATTTTGAATATTTTGAGTATTTTTCTTTCTTGTGTTTTTCTATATTAGACCAAGTGGCAATAATTTGAATAATTCTTAGATAGTCCAGTTTTTCGTTTTAGTTTTACTTTCTTTTCACATAGCGTTAATGGTCGTGCAATAGAAAATTTCATCTTTCTTACAATTCTGGTAATTGTTATTTCTATTTCAATATGTTTATCTTACTTTTCTGATTAGTCTATTAAAAAAAGAATGTTTAATTCATTTTTCGACAACCCTTTAATTCTTTCTTTTTCACATATCACCTTTAATACTACAAGATGAAAGGACGTTTTAGTAAAAAAAAATTACATATATCACAAGATATAAACGTATTCTTCCACTTGTTTAAACTTCATAAAAAATCAAAACTCGACAAATAAAAGTTGAACTGGATGAAAAATATTCTTATTATCCCAAACTCATACAACAAATGTATGAATAAGTTAAAATTCAATTATTATTCCTTCCTTTCCAACAAAATTTCACTTGAAGTAGTCGATAAAATTTAAGACGGAGAAAACGATAATGTTCTTTAACTGCATACGCTAGTTTGATCTTTGATCATCTAGCTATCTCCTAAGTCGCTCTTGGAATTGAAATCAAATAGCTACATTTTTTTGTGAAATTCCATCTCAGATATAATAATTGAATCTATAAATATAAAATAATCAAAAAAAATTTAAAACTATTTATTTTTCAGGTTCATAATTTAATTTTCTGGATGTAGACTACCTTGACAAACCTTCCCCTTAAGAAAATTCAGCTAATATGATGTAAATCGATGATTCACGTATTAATTAAATTGATTAAAATAAATACTACTCTCTTTATTATTATTATTTTTAAAAAAAATATTTATCTCAGGCATTATTTTTTAAAAAGAAAATTATTGATTCCGTCTCTGGTGACTTAAGATTATGTAATATTAAAGATAATTTGCAAGAATTAATTTTTATTAATTGCTGATTAAAAAATAAAATAAAAAATGACTGGCTCTAGTAATTTATCAACCCTCTTTTTAAGGTTAACATCTCATGCTTAGTATAGATATAGTCATTAGATAAATCTTAAACTTATTTTAAGATACAATAACACCTTTTTACCCAAATTTTTTTTTACTATTAAATGTGGTAAAGATTTATTTTCTACCTTTAAAAAATCATCTTTCATTATTCTATTATTATATATCATTTGATATTTAGTAAATTGAATCAATAACTCTTTAAACTCTCTAGATATCTACACCACTATATTTGAACAAAAAAAAAAACAGAATAAATTTCTATTCCCAAAAAAAAAAACAAATTCTGTCTTTTTCTAAACATTTAATATTCTCAAAATCTTGTTGTTTATATAAAATCTCATTAACATCATCAAAAACTAAAGTTATAGTGCCTCATATCAAAAAAATAAAAGTGAAAACATGGGATTTAAGGATTTTCAACTCAAGATAGCCAAGGTATATGCTTCTTTTTTGTTAATCTATATACATTTTGTTTAATCTTTTTTATACTTTAATTATCAATAAATTTTTGAAGCAAAAACAAAATGTTAATCACTTCTTAATCGAGAATTTTGATTTATCTTTAATTGTTTTACCTAAATTGTACTCAATTGCCCTAATTTAATTTTTTTTTTTAAAAAATCCCTTGTTAGAGTCCTAAACTAGCATAAATCTATCAAGGTTGTAACAATGTTTGAAATTATTGTTATATGTTACAATTCAGAGTACTAGGGAAAATTGACATGTCTATAGCTGCATTCATATGTTATTTTTGTGTATATATAGTAGATATAGATGTTGAATTTTGTTAGCTTTTTCGTAACAGTAGATGTTAAATTCTCTTAGCTTTTTCATATGTTTGTAACAGATGTTGAATTCTCTTAGCTTTTTCGTATGTTTGAAACAGTAGATATTGGATTCTCTTAGCTTTTTTCATATGTTTGTAACAGTAGATGTTGAATTCTCTTAGCTTTTTCATATGTTTGTAACAGTAGATGTTGAATTCTCTTAGCTTTTTCATATGTTTGTAATAGTAGATGTTGAATTCTATTAGCTTTTTCGTACGTTTGTAACAGTAGATTTTGAATTCTCTTAGCTTTTTCATACGTTTGTAACAGTAGATTTTGAATTCTCTTAGCTTTTTCGTATGTCTGAAACAATAGATGTTGAATTCTCTTAGCTTTTTTGTATGTTTGAATCTCCTTATTGAAAACTCTGGCTTTTTCATATGTTTGAATCTCCTTAATGAAAATTCTGGCTTAGTTTGACGTTTTTTCAATTTCTGAGTTTTTTGTTCATTTTTGATAGAAACTTAAGCTGAAAAACTTTATTGGCAAAGGAGGAGGAGGAGGAAACAAGAAGAAAGGATCAGGAAATGGGAAGAGGCTTCCATGGATGATGCCAATAACTCATGGATATTACGTGGCGGAGGAAAGTCGAGACGGAGCAAGGCCGCAAACACCTCAAAGTAACAAGGTGGAGTGTGATAAAGTGGTGGTGCAAAGGGAACAAGTTGAGGAACAAGAGTGGTGGTTTTGTGGTGTTTTTGATACTCGAATTGGGGGCGGAGTTACCAAGTACCTGCAGGCTCATTTGTTTGACAACAATCTTAACGAGGTAATCAACATGATCGTAGGATACTATGTTTCACAATGTTCTTGTTGTTTATTTTGTCATTTAGGTAAACAAAGCATGAAAAATAAAGTATGTTTTTAGGATTCCTAGTTTCACCTTTTTCTTGTGTTGTTTTTGTTTCGTCATCTTGCAAATTTGTCTTTTTTTTTTATCTGTTTAAAGGTTGAATTAAAGCATCCAAGGGTGTAACGTAGTGATCATAGGTTTCGGGTGTTTAAACGTTAAGAATCATGATGTCTCGGGTTTAAATCCTAGCAGAGACAAAAACCGACTTTTTCTCATCTGTCCTGACCTGCCTGGTGGACAGAGTTACCTAGCAAAGACAGAAAAAGAAGCATTTTTCGCGCAGCTTGCTCATAGTGCAGGTCTCACTTGTATAATATCGTATTTGGCCAGACTGACTAACTCGCGTACTCCTTATCGATCTATATTTAATACTTTCTTCCATCTACGTAATTTAAAGGACAAAAACGAGAATGGAACCGTAAGCTTCTATGTTATGTATGTTGTTTTGTGTGTGTGTTAGTAGCATTGGGAAATTTTTAAAAGCCACCTATGAGAGGTCATTTTGATTTTTGGGCTAATATCTTCTGTTCCTTTTAGTGTATAACCGAAAGGCAAATAATATTTTATCGTCCTACGATTTCTGTTACTTACTATTGTCTCTTGTACTTCGATTTCTGCTTTGATATGCTTTTCCTTGAGCAAAGGGTCTATCGTAAACAACCTATCTAAAGGTCTGCGTACACTCTACCCTCCGTAGACTGGATATGTTATTGTTGTTGTAGGCATATAATATCAAAAATGTAGCTTAGTTAGAGGTGCTCAGCTCATTTTTGCGCCTATTTTCGTACAGTCACAGATGAAGAAGAAAAGCAAAGAAACATTGAAGAAGGCACATGTTCATGCAAAAGCTAAGGTCAGGGAAACAGAAAAACTAGAAAGCACCTGGAAAATGGGTTCAGCTTCTGCATTAGTCATCAACGGCGAGAGACTAGTACTCGCGAACATGGGTGAATACAAAGCTGTAGTATGCAGAGACG